TTTACCTTTTTCTTTTAAAATTGACAAACAGAGGAAATGTCATCTTAAGAAGCCCCTTTCTTCGAGTTGTGGAGAGTAGTAGTACAACATATAGGCCTTCAAACACCCAGTTTCCAAAAGATGTCTATTGCCACAATTCTACGTTTTCTTCAGTTTTTACTAGTGAAGATTTAATCAGTACTTCTCATTTTGAACAGTTGATAGTTGGAAACAAGATCGAACAAGATTATTGCATCAATTCTGAGCTGGTTAAGAAAACAAAATAGGAAATTGAAAGAACGACAAGGCTCCTGGACAAGCTAATATTTCTCCAAGGGTTTTCAAGGAGGTTACGGATTGGATATGTGAGCCACTAGCTATTATTTTTGTAAGTCCTTAAACAATGGACAGGTGCCAGAGGATTGAAAGTTGGTTAATATTACTCCTCTTTTCAAGGAAGGTCATAAAAATTGTCTCAGTAATTATAGGCCGTTAATCTTACATCAGCTATCGGAAACGTTTTGGAAAATTTGATAAAAGATGCTTTATAAAGTCATTTAACAAAGTTTAGAATTTTATTGGATAGTTAACATGGTTTGTTTCACTATGGGAAAATTCTGCCTTACAATTTTTTTGATATTCTTTGAAAAGGTTACTGCTTATGTAGATGAGGGTAAGGGTATAGCTTTGGCGTATCTGGATTTTCAGAAAGCATTTGACAAGGTATCATATAAAAGTCTTATAAAACAATTATCTCTATATGTGTCAGGGATATGTTAGCAAATTGGACAGAAGATTGGCTCGATGGTAGAAAGCAGAGGGTTGTTATAAATGGAGTTAAGTCAAACAGAATTAATGCCACAAGTGGGGTACCTCAAGGCTCAGTCTTAAGACTTTTGCTCTTTTTGACTTTTTGATTTTCATCAATGACATAGAAAAAGGAATGGTCAATAAATTACTTAAATTTGCTGATGGTATTAAGGTCTTGCGTGTTGCTAGCAGTGAAGAGGATACTGTTGCTTTAAAATCATTTAGATAATCTAGTGAGTTAGACAGATAGATGGCAGGTGAGTTTTAATTATAATAAATGGAAGATAATTTATGTGGGTTATCATAATTTAAATTATAAATATAACTTCGATGGGAATAACCTTAACAGTGTCATGGAAGAAAGGATCTTGGTGTAATGGTAGATATGTCTCTTAAGACATCCGAGCAGTGTGCCGTTACTAGTGGTAGGACTAACAGGATTTTAGGTTGTATCTACAGAGATATTGAATGTAAGTCTTAAGAGGTTATAATTTCACTGTATATGTCACTGGTTAGGCTACATTTGGATTATTGTGTTCAATCTTATGCTCCTTACATTAGGAATGACATTATTTGTTTGTTTTGAATTTCGCGCAAGGCTATACGATGGCTATCTGCGCTAGCCGTCCCTAATTTAGCAGGGATAGGTTATAAGGAAGGTAGCTAGTCAACACTACTCACCACCCACTCTTGGGCAACTCTTTTATCAACGAATAGTGGGATTAACCGTCACATTATAACGCTCCCACGGCTGAAAGGGCGAGCGTGTTCGGTGTGACGGGGATTCGAACCCACGACCCTCAGATTGCGAGTCGAGCCCCCTAACCACCTGGCCATGCCGGGCCTTAATCATCTCGTTCCCAAAGTTTGTAAAAATGTAAAACGTTTCACCCAATCCCTTGAAGAACCTGGGTATTTCGCGAAAACACTTTTACGGGCATTCCCCGAAAGTGGACCCTAAATTTGAAAATAATTTGCATTAAAGCACATAAATAAATAAGCCTACTAATTACCGTGCGTAACTTGATTAAATAAATTAAAATTGTATTATAGCGACAATGATCATTAAATTGAAAAAGTGAAAAATAGTAGCTCAAGCATTAACTTTGCATTATAGTGGCCCAGTAAAAAGGGGCCATAGACTGACGGGTTCGCTAGTTATTATAAAATTATATTTAATATTAGGTAAAGTAATGCGTTGAGCTATTCATATACATCTAAAAGTCTTATTAGTTGGTTCTGGAAATATATTTGAAACTATATAGATATTTTTATACTCATAGTTCAACAAAGTTAAAGTGTGGAACCTATATTGTGTCCACCGGTAGGACAGCGGTAAGTCTACGGATTTACAACCCTAAACTCAGGGTTTCAATTTCCCTCGGTTAATACAGTAGATAGCCCGATGTGGGTTTGTTGTAAGAAAATACACATCTCTATTCTATGTAAATTGCGTTCTCGCTTTTCCGATCTTATGCTAACTAACGCAACTCGAGCGTGGCACAGTGGTTAGCGTGCTGAACTGTGGATATGAGATCCGTCCCATTACTGCCAAAAGAAAGAGCATGATCAAATTCCACTATTCAGTCTGACAAGAGCAGTCTAACAGTTGACAGTGGATTATGTTGAGTAGCTGTCTAACCTTTAATACTTGAAAATTAGGGACGACTATAGCAAATATCAGTTATGTAGCTTTTCACGAAAACCCGAAGACAAACAACTACGCTGTTGAATCCAAATTATAATAAGATAAATATCGATATTCCTTTCATTATGAAAGTGAAATATACGTTTATGTAGAGCAGGCTTACTAATTTATGAGTAGGTGAATTTTTTCTTATATAAGGAAATAATTAAGGTTATCGGCGTTTCATGGTGAATGAAGGTACATATATGTTCTTTAAGAACATGGTTCACTTATGTTTATTTAAGTCCAACAGCCTTTCAAGTTCTACTGTTTACTGTTCAATAAAACCTTGTAAACACGTAAAAAAATATTATTTTAAGTTTAGAAGAGGTAATAACTTTCTTTAGGTAAACTAGGGACGCGTATCCACAAGTACGGTCTGTATTCCTGTCGTTGTTTATTTTTTTGCTTCAAATATGTTGTTTTCAAACATAAACACTAGAAATATATCGAATCCCCCACTATATAGCTCTCAGAATAAAATAGTATAACAGCCCCATGAGTTTATCATAATGTAGTGTTCTAGTTGAACCTTGTAACTTTAAAAAACGTGTCCGGTTGAGGATGAAATGCTATGAAGGATTCGTGAATCTTTAGAAATATCAGTTTGAAGCAGCTTTGAATCATCTTCATTAGGCTTAGCCTCTACTCCAAAAATCGTAAGCTTCTTTCACATTAAGTAACATTAATGCTCTACGAATTTAGGAGTTCTAAAACTTCACGCTATCTGTTATATTATTAAAGGTCTTTCGGTAGGTCACAATAAGTTTCAAGATATACAATGCTAAAATTCAGGGTTCGATTACCCACCCTAAAAAACAAACAAGCATTATTAAATTTTTTCACCACTTTGGAGTTAACATAAGCCTTTCCTCTATACACAAGGGAAAACTATTGAATGTAAAGTATCCACGAATAAGATCTGCGAGTTAACAGTTTCACGGATTTTGTTTTTGGAAGATTTTCTTATCAAATTTCTATATAGGAAAATGAATTTCGACTCTTTTATTCTCATTTGTTGTTTTTATCGACGAACCAAATCCATAGCAGTTCTCTTTGTAAATTCAGATCAGAGAAAAATATATATAATAATAGAGTCAAATAAAATTTCGACGTGAATATAGATGTATATCATGTTTCAAAAGTAGTTCTAGCTTGCAGCCCTTTGTTACTATCAGATGTTAATCTTAATGTATTACTACTTTTGTTATTGTGAGATGCAAACAGTCATCAGCCAGATAAATTAATGTTCGAGAAACCACTCACTAGTGTACAGATTGGCATAGCAAGGTGATAAACAGCATTTCTAATTTGTTTGTTTTTAATCAATTTTTCGAAAGTCAAGGAACGAGGAGTTTAAAGTCAACCAAAGCTTTTTTTTTTTATAAACATAATTAGACATTCCTCTCTAGAGACTGCTAGTTATTCCGAAATGTATTTCTATAAGTTGCAGTTTATATGAATAAATGTCTTATTTGTTTTCACCTGAATATGTAGTATCTTTTGATAACTACAGCGCGCTTCTCAGTATCATTTAGGTTTATTTTTGACATTAAGGTATATGCACAAGTAAAAAGAGGTTTTCAAACATACAAGTTTTATGATAATATTAACACATTTAATTATGACGCTTAAGTAAGCACAAACCATGCACATATTATTCAGCACTAGTGATTTTATATCAGAACTGAATATTCAGGTCGAGGAGCTGTCGAGTTAAAATTCCCCTCAGCCTGAAAATATACTCACAATTAACTCATCCGTTAATTACTAAAATCACAAGATGGAAGACTTTGCTTCCTAGGATTCCTAACTAAGGGACGATTGAACCGTTAATCAGTAAAATAAACATACTTTCTAAAATAAATATGACACGACCAATCTCCGGAATACTGTTTTTGTTGTAACTCAATATTTCGCTTCACAGTACTTCGACAAGAGTCTTACAGAGGGCGTCTTATCTTTATAATAATAAACACCAGTTAGCGTTAGAAGAATTAACAATATAAGTAGATACTTTTATTTATTATCACTCTGTGCTTTGTTAAGTTTACTGTGAAACTGAACTAAAAAAAAGCGTTTAAAAAAATAAGTTTTGCTAATATATATATTTCTCGTCTAGAATGTTTACGAAGTAAAATCTTCCTATCGCGAAGCTCTTAATTTAAACATATGCTGAGCTTACATATTTATGTTAGGGTTTCAATAAATATTTATTTAAATTATATATTCCTGAACTTATTCTTACACTGACAAATAATTAACCATGAATCATCGAATACATAGCTTTAGAAAAATGGAGACATAAAGCTAACTCGAAATTCGTGTTGTTCTGTTTAAAGTTAAGGTTTAAGGTCAATTTGTAATTGTCATACTTTTTTCATAAGTCATTCCGTTACATATTTGGATAATCTGAAAGTGCGTGGATTGCATTATAGCTGTTCACATAAATGATTTATATCTAAGAAAACATACACAGTTTATAATATTCATGTAGTTTAATATATGTTCTTTTGTTTTCCAGTATGAACAGTAAAAATCGAAAGACAGTAAGTATCCCACGGAAAATCTACAGCAAAGAAACATAGATTTTACCATGAACCAGGGGTAATGTCACATGAAACAGAAGGAAACATAACTTCTAAACTGTGAACTTCTGTATGATCTTGAACAAATATATTAAGCCATAGTTGAGTTTAATTGTTTGAAGCCGAGATGACGAATCTCAAATGGAAAGTTGTTGACAGAATGAACCCTGCTGTTCAGTCTAAGCTCCTAGTGTACTCGTCTGCTGCTACTCTTCTCGGTTCTTACGATATCACAAGTAACTTTACTTCACTGGTGAACAGCACTGTTCAGGAAGAGAACAAGCTACCTGAGTCCCGATACTCACTAGCCGAAGTCATCTTGATAGCTCTGGTCGCAGGCCTTCTAAGTCTAGGGACTGTCGTAGGAAACGTGATGGTAATGATATCTTTCAAGATGGACAAACAGCTTCAAACCATCAGCAACTACTTTTTGTTGAGCTTGGCTGCTGCTGATGTCTCGATAGGACTCATTTCCATGCCCTTATTTACTGTATTTACGTTGTTAGGATACTGGCCATTGGGTCCCATGATTTGTGACACGTGGCTTGCTTTGGACTATCTCAGTAGTAATGCTTCCGTGCTTAACTTACTGATTATTAGCTTTGACCGTTACTTCTCTGTCACTCGACCATTGACCTATAGGGCCAAAAGGACCACTAAACGTGCAGCCTTTATGATCACTAGTGCTTGGGTTATATCGCTTGTCTTGTGGCCACCTTGGATATACGCCTGGCCGTATATTGAAGGTCAACGGAAGGTTCAGGCTCACGAATGTCACATTCAGTTTTTGGAGACAAACTCCTATGTAACATTCGGGACAGCTATAGCAGCATTCTACTTGCCCGTCACTGTGATGTGCATTCTTTACTGGCGCATTTGGCAAGAAACAGAACAGAGGAAAAAGGATCTCACTCAACTCCAAGCTGAAAAGAGGACAGATAGTAAAAAGTCATCCTCTAGTGATGACCCGGCAGAAGCCGAGGAGTATCTCAGAACAAGAGCTGATTCATGTGTACCGGGTGATACACTGGAAAGGACTTATGTTCCAACCTCTCTTTGCGTGGAGGCTATCAAGCCTCAGAAGAGCCACCCCCGAACTCTGAAGCAAGCCTTGGTGTCTTGGTGCAGAGTAGACAGGGATCAGGATGTTCAGGAAGATGACAGTTCAAGTCATGGATCTGCTGAAGCTGAAACTCCGGGTTCACATGAAACTCCCATTCAGTTGTCTTCAAGAACAACATCTGCAACATTTAGGGCGCAGCGCCGTTTAGATTCTGGAATTCCTGTTATCACTAGGAATGGACCTAAAAGAACTGAAGATATGGAAACAAATACAGTGGCATCTCCTACTTCGCGATCGTTTTCTTCAGATTCTGTCTACACTATCTTGATTCGCTTACCGACATATCCATCTGTCGGCGATGGAGAATCACAAGCTTCTATAAAAATGATCCTAGAAGAAGAAGGCACCCAGGCAGAGACAAGTCTCCATAATGTGAAAGCCTCAGAGAGCATGGGAGCTTTAAACAGTCAACATCGTATTTCTGGAGAGAGCCAATATCGACTTTCCTCGTTAAAAACATCAGAATCGGCGCTTGATACCATCCGACTTCCGCTTAATACCAAACTAGTCCACAAGCAAGTTGCCAAAAACAGAGTGCCCAAAAGAAAGCGGAAACAACAGGAAAGGAAACAAGAAAAGAAGGCAGCTAAGACTCTAAGTGCTATCTTGTTGGCTTTCATTGTCACGTGGACACCTTACAATGTGTTGGTATTGGTCAAAACCTTATCCTATTGTGCGGATGACGAGTGCATCCCGGAAGGATTATGGAATTTTGCTTATTATCTCTGTTATATTAACAGCACAGTGAATCCATTATGTTACGCACTTTGCAATGCTAACTTCAGGAGAACCTATACCAGGATTTTATCTTGTAAATGGCAAAACAAGAAACGGCACATTGTCAATCGAGGTTATTTTAACTAAATATAAGAACTGTGTACGTATAGCAGTTGTAATGAGGTTATAAATTCTGACACCAACATCCAGTATTTTATTTGAAGTGTTTATAGTAAATCCCTGAAAACAAGTGGCTCGTATTGAAATAGCTGCATTAATTACACGTATTATTGGGCATTTGTTTCTGGTTGTCAGTGTTGTGGTTATATATTAGTATAATAACATCAGCAGCTGTATATTTATAACGTTTATCAAATTATCTTGTGTTTACTCTCTTTGATCTATAATATTTGATTGCATTTCTGGTTACTCAGCTGCTTGACTGTTCTACTTATCTTTCTTTGTATCTGTCTTCATTTTGTCTCTTATCGTTATTATCACGTATGTGTATATATGTATATATCAAACTGTTTATGTACGTAAGCATTTGATTCTCTAGCCTTTTCTTTATGAATACATGAAAATATTTCCATATGTCTGTTAGCTTATGTAAATATATATATATATGTGTGTGTGTGTGTGTGTGTGTGTGTGTGCATTTATTTATCTGTAAATCTAGCTAGTTAGCTGTTTCTACGTCATATGGACCTAATGTCTCTAAATGCATGTCAACTTGACTTTTTAAGTCTAATAAATTGTTTAAATCATTACAGTAAATTGTATTATCTGATCTTCTAACTGCTATTGAAATACAAAAAATATTCTTATATCACAAAGCAAGACAAGAAACAAACAAAACACTAATACATCTACAGATTTTGTATTAGTTTTATCATACTTGGTGATTCAATTAGACCTTGGGCGTGGTCAAATACATTAATCGAAAGGGTTTGACCTGGTGAGTTCAAAACTATAATTAGTTCTCCAGTCGGTCAAACGATGACGGAACCGTAAGCTAAAAGTTTGTACTTGAAAAACTCGGAGAATTCTATGAGCCGCTATGCCGCGGCTTATAATGAATTCAGTGTCTGAAACTTAGCTTGAGCATCGAACAAACAAACAAATTATATTAAGGAAGTAATAGAAATATATTATTTATAATATTTTGAAAAACGCCATATGGAAAATTAAATAATACGGATATGAAAACAAAATTTACGTAAATTTCTCAAACTTCGTTAATTTTTACAGCAAGACGAACATTTCACAACTCACATAGATGTTAAACCTTCAATGTTCAAAACTTAGAAACTAACCGTTATCTATAATAACATCATTGATACAATAGAAACAAATTAAAAGTATGATATCTTGTTAAGCAAAAATAAACCAAAGTAGTGATCAATAAAAATTAATACAAACATTGTGTTATTTTATTACAACACAAATTATGTTTCTCAACCACGGATTTGTGTGAACTATAACACAATTAATTACTATAGTGATATACAGACACAGGTTTTTGTGTGTTTTCTAACAGCACAAATGAAGTGCTTTTTTTCAAAATTGTGTTTAGCTAAATACATTTTTATTATGCGTGTATAGATTGTATAAAGTCAGCACATAGATTATGCATCAACAAACACGTCCGTGTTATGTTTTGTTAGCCCACGATGACTCTATTATTAAGTTAAACTTGAGTAGCCGTTCAAACACCAGACTTATGTTCTACAAAATGTGTTGTTTTCAATACACTTTTTTTTACAGTGCAGATAACACTTGGTAACTGAACAAAAACTCCAGAAGAAGCAGCATTTGATAGGTTTATAAACTATTGTAATATATCTATGAAAAAAAAACATTTAGCTTTCTGCATTCAATTGTTAAATATTTTGGATGAATTAGTTCATGAAGTTTAACTCACTCATTTAAAAAGACAATATGATAAACTTAATGGAGTGTAACTAATTCACTTTGCATCGACTGCCCGAAGCAACGATTAAAGAATTGAAAATAATGATCACTATCATTAAAATAATCACTGGCGTTTAATGCTTGTCATCATCAATAATCCTATTAATACAAAACGTGTGAAATACTTTTTAAAAAAGACCAATACTAACAGTTTCAAAAATTATCAAATGTTATCAAAATTAGAAGTTTTTGCTCAGATCATAGACTGAATTAAATCATGTTTCTTAATAATGCCTTTTAACATAACTTTCAAAGGTAAGAAGCATTAGCACTAAACATTACAAAAATACTGAAAACATGAACCGTTGACAGTCTCATAATTGTACAATTAAACCTGACTGGATCATTTTCTTCTGCTTCAACAAATCTAGCTCTAATAATATATCAAAAGAGTGTACAATGCTTAATTATAAAACACGAAAATAGTTTTCTTTGATGAATGTGCATCTCCGGATATTAAAAAGCGTATATTGTTATGCAAAAATCAACAGCATGAACTGCATCATAATTACGTACTTTGAATTGTTAGTATTAAGAAACTATGTTTGGATTTAGCTAATAACAATGATTAAATATAGTAGATCAGTTGTTAAAGTACAATCAGAGTTTAGTACTTGAATCTATAATGGTAATATTACAGAAAACTTGAAAGAAAAATATCATGAACGTTTATGACTAATTTAATATCAGCTCAAAATATCCAATAAATAAAACTTACAACTTTATTTCATCCATACCTAATGATTGGTTTCGAATTAGAAATAATTAGACGATTTACGAGACTGTATTGTCGTTAAGATTCGAAATAAGGTATCTATTATCGGATTTTTAGACTAGCAGTTAAACAACGCCAATGGAAGACATAGCAAATAGGATCAAAGCTTAACAACGTACAAGTGTATATCACCTAGATTTCTTAGAGTTTATTTTAATACTAATTTCAAAATATTTATATGTTTAACTTGAATCTTTCTATCTTATAAAAGTCAGAGCAATTTTCTGATAATAAATACGTGCAAATGTTTCTTTTTTTAATTCTTCAACATTATTATTTTATTTATTCATTGTTGTCTCTGTGATTATAACTTAAGATAACATTTCAAACTGAATACAGGCTCAAACTTTAATGAATTTTATTCACTGAAATTCATAATATTGTACGTAATTTTAACCGAATCACCATTCTGACTGTATATTATTTCCTTCTGTGGGAAAAATTTGAATTAAACTAGTAACATATAATGAGAAACAGTTATCAATATAGAATAAACTATGATTTTATATTTATTATTTTTTCATCTATATATTTAATAAACGAAACAAAGTGGAAATACGATTATTTGAAAACTCTTTTTTTTTTCTTGGAACATCTGTTTGATATACATAACTGGCATTGTTTAAATGATATTTGATAACTCCACGTCCTACAGTAAATACATGAACATATTAAAGTGTACACAATACCAGATTAAGCTTTTAAATGATCTCATAGACATGCATATCCTATAAACATAACGAGCAATCTAAAAGATAAAACAATCACGACTTATTTACTACAAAAACATCATTCCAGCTTAGTGAGTTGAGTGGAGTCATTTGCTATAACGCCGTATTTCCCATGAACTTGAAACAAGATGTCAGCAGAAGATGATTTGAAGTGGTGAACGCGAAATTCAAATTTTTCCAAAATTGTTTAATCAGACTATAATGCAGTGATTGTTTTGGCCGAAAAAAATCATTGAAGTAACTGTCTTTCGAATAACAGAAGTACGGTGGATTGATGTATTATTGTTTCGAAATGCAGCAATCTGGGGTGAACACTGTTATTAACATTGTCCACGTCCACACTAACTATTTTTGCTCTTCCAAAAGAATCAAATTTCCATCTTCTAACATAAGAACGTTTCCTACACTTGTACTTTGCACTTCCAGAATAACGCAAACAAGATCAAGTGTCTTATATGGTTTCCGCCATATTGGCTCACTATGGGACAGCGGTCAGTTTACGGAGTTACAACGCTAAGATCCAGGGTTCCATTACCTGCGGTGGACACAGCAGATAGCTCAATATAGCTTTGCTCTATAACAAACAAACAAATCCGCCATATCATTACGACACCATTGGTACAAAAAACGCGAAACATGACTAATCACACACTTCCAATCATTTGTTGTCCATAGATTGAGTTTTAAGCACCACAAGACCATTATTTTTTGCTTGTATCCAAGATAGGCAGTTTACACAATGGTTGGCGGCTGGGTCCCGTATGTCATTTTTTTGTAATGCTTTTCTTATAATATGGTTGTAAATAGTTGAATTCGAACCCCTGTTGAAGACTTCTGTCAATTTTGCCATATTCCAACATTTGTTGCACTTAACAAGCCCTGTTCAAATGTATTTTCCATCGGTCTGTCACCAGCAATTAGTGATGACTGTTTACTCCTAGTTATATGTAACAGTTGATAGAGACTCCGATGATATATGTGTTTTAAATAGCTGATCAAAAATACGCCCTTGCTAACAACGCTTATGCTAGTAGGACACCCATTATCATACCATCTCTTTGAATGAAGGAGAGATCCTTGCTCTTACCCATTGTCTTTCAGGTTAGCCATGATATGACTGTATTTTCTTTTATATCAAACGGACAGCCTATTTTTCACATTCAGCTAAATGTATTAAAAACTATGGGGAGTTTAGATATATATATATATAACTTTCAGTTGTTTAATTAAACAGTTCGTTTAAACAGCTATTAAACAACAGTGTTCATGTTACTTAATATACCGATATATGTATCTCGTGGATCCCATCAATAAAATTGTACTATTTTACACAAAGATATACTAATGCATTATCTGAGGAATATTTAACAAAATATAGAGTTTCTATAATATTTTGGCTCAAAAGAATTAGACGTGTTTCCATATAAGAATGTCTGATTCGCAGTTAACGATCCACTTCTCAGCAAGCAACAGTTACATATATCTCTGCAAATCAGTCCTTGCTTTTCATGGATCGATCACTAAAGCCTTAGGAGATGATTTCTCACCTATCTTACGCTCCATCGCGTTCAGCTCTTACAGCATTCAGTTGCCTTTGCGCACGCGCTGAATAACCCTTCTGTCAAACTGCTTATCTGAAGTTCTCACACTCCTATGTGTAATCACAATAGAGTCTCATTGAAATATTCTAATTTTGAATTATTATTATTTTGTTGAAGAAAGACAGTATTGAAAAGTATGCCAGACACTGGCTCAGTTAAATCGATAAGGAATATCTGAATGTGTATCCGCGGTTGAAACACTCTGATCTAAGAAATTGGTAAAAGTTTTTCCGCTAATATTTTTCAGCAACGAAAGCCTCTCATATCCCATTTTGTGGTAGATTGAACTTGTTCCTCTACGACACTTCTCATTGGAGATAATATTCCCTTTACTCCACGTAACCTATCCTGAGTAGTAATCGATTTCTGCGATAAAGACGAGCTTTACCTCGAGCTTCAGGGCGCTCTCTCATACTCACCCCTCCTATACCTATTGCTTCCTTATTTGAAAACATACAACAGCCAATCAATATGGTCCTGGTGGACTATATTAAACAGTATACTCATCAATACCACTAAGTCAATATTATTATGTAGGCCTAACCTTTTGTGTGCTTGAAAGCCAAGAAACAACAAATTCTATAGTTTTAATTTATATTTTCAGTTTTAGAAATGGTTCAATAGAATATTAGGTCACGAATTTTCAACACTGCATGAACAACAAAGTATTTTTCCTTTTATTTTTTTCTTCAATGTCAGTGTAGTTTTAATTTTTAATATTGTAAGATTGTAAATAGCTTGTGTGAAAGAGTACCACTCGCCCACCTTTATATTTTTCATTTACTTTTTAGAACACGAATGAACTTTGATTTTGGTTGTTGTTAAACCCAAAGCCTCACATCGAAACTAAAGCTTCCAAAGAATTTGAAAGCTCTCTAACAGCAAAAAACTAAACTAACAATGGTAAATTATCAGTTACATTCATTTAAACATTATAATTCTTTTCCACAACCAAATTACATTGGAAATCCACAGCACAACGAACACAAATATTTCGGACAGTCGATTCGCAATCTGCGGGTCGCGTGTTCGAAACCAGGCACC